GAAGTAGCAGTTTCTGTAAGGGTCCTTTATTTTATATCTCAAATTGATTGGGAGGGCTTTTTTTATCAGTGTTGAGTTAAATCATACTATGCTTTTTGGTAGTTTGTCACTTTATGTTTTACCGACATTGATCAAAGCTCTTCAGTTTCTTCAGTCACTGCTAATCAAACATCCCTTTAAGAAGGATGGATGTCATACCTGCCATGTTCCTGAAAGGCTAGTTCTCCGTGGGGAAGTTTCTGTCTTGTATATTAGAGGCTTTCACACTTTATGCAGATGGCAGTAAATGCTACTTTATTATTACTGTTACGTTCTGAAGAAACCTGTGTGAACTGCAAGTAGTCCACCTTCAGATTGAGTGTTGAGGGCATTGGAAACGTTTGGCATTGAAGAAGTTATTTCTATATGTCATCATCCCGATTTTAGCGACTTGTCAGTGAGGCTTCGTTGGCACTGAAAGCAATATTTCTTTTAATTGAAAAACAGTTAACATGAATCATCTTTCAGTGGGTCAGAGATGTTGGTGGCTGTTGTTTGTATTTACTTATATTCTTACAAGAAAATTTCAAATTTGACTTTATTGTACAATTATATACTGTTCTACTGTCTGGAAGGCTTTCCATTGAAAATTTAATCTAAAAATTGAAAGTACGTATTTGTGGACTTTGAATAACATCAGTAAACAAATGTAAGTTATGTGGAGATGGGAAAAGGGTTGGTTTTTTTTTTAATCCGCTCATTTCGCTCTTAATTTGTGCTTGATTATCAGAGACAGCAGAGTTTATCTTTTATCATTCTGCAACTGTCTGCTGTATTGGTTTAACCTTGTTGGTCACTGGTGTAAAAAATTTGCACAAGAAACTTAGCTTCATGAGACTTTTTTAACGCTTTCCTTGTAAGCCATGGCTTTTAGTGCTGAAAGACCCCTTTTATTCCACTTCATTACCAAGCCGTTTGGTCATCTCTTCTTCCCTGTCCCATAAACAGAGCTTTAACTTTGAGAAGAAGGATATTCAGAGACCCTTTGAGAATTTGCTTTTTTTTTTCCCGAACCAACTTTATATGAAATGTGCTCAGAAATGAAAGTAAGGGATGATTGTAAAATCCTTTCAGAAAATACTACTTCTCCGTTGTTTCGTTTCTTAATTTGCTTGTACATGTAGTATTTTCCCTTTCACTTACATCTTGAGGAAAGCAGGATGACTGAATTGCAGGTTTCTAATTTTACCAAATGAGTTCTGGTTTCTTCCTGAAGCAAAACACTTAAATATTGTACAGAAAAGTTGTAGGTGTATATGAAAATAACTTGGAAAATTATAGATTAGATAGGATGAAAGAGTCAACAAGAACAGAAAATAATATTATGTCCACAGCCTATGTAAGAGAATTAGTTTATGTCCTAAGAGTTGTTACTACACCAGTAGTGGATTTGCCACTTCTGTGTAGAAGAGGATGGCTTTAGTGGGGCTTTGCTGTCAGCTACAGTGATATTTTGTCACTAACTCTGAGGAAAAACTCCCAAAGTTTTGAATACCTGTGTGTGGTCCTGATTTGGTTAGAGATCTAAATTCCCGTGTTGGGAGTGGAGAATTGCTGTCGCTGTTTAACAAGAGCTCCTCACATTGCCATTTGCAAAACTTCCAGTGCTTTCTGAGTTTTCTCAAGTGGAAACACACAGAGGCCATTAAGGAGGTAGGAAGGAGGCCTCCTGCAAGCCCGCGTGTGCAAAAGGTCTCCGAGAAACCACACACTTCCGTGATGATGCTGACATTTGAATATGCAAGAGCATGAGCGGGTACACTGTGTTCCTGCTCTGTAAAATATTCCCTGAAACTTTTGTCTCTTTGTTGTGTGTTGCTTTTAACAGCCTAACGTTACTTACATTTAAATTTACAAAATGTGTTGTTCAAGAAAGTATTAATTTGGTACTTTTCTGTTGGCTGTTTAAAGAGACTTTTGGGAGAAGATGAAGTATGGCTTCTTTTTCTCACAGTTCTGAACAAGACCGAGACTGGTTTTTGTAGATCACTTTTAGTTTGCAGTACGGTTGAAATTTGAAGCTGGTTTGCAGGGTATAGCAGGTCTTTGGCCTTGGGGATGTACTCCAGTATGCCAACCACTCATACAGCTTAGAGTTGTTTTTCGGCTTACTAGACCAGTGATATCTGTAATCACATTATTAGTCGCAGTCTTGCTTTTGTGTTATGCTTGTCACCCAGTTGAAGTCTGTGTTTCAGAGAAGCCTTCAAAATTACATTTGTAGCGATAAGCCTTCAAATGTGGCTGTAAGAGGATTTTTGAACAGTTAAGTATTGAAAATTTATTGAGCAACAATTTTTTCACTATAGCTTTCTGAGTAGGTCATTCTTATGAAATGTTTTTGGTTGGTTGTTACTGTGTTGGGAGATGGATGTTACTGTCTCCCTACAAAGGAATACAAAAATGGCAGAAAGATCTGAACACGGCTTAGATATTTATTTCCTTTTTGAGTTTTCTTGCTTTCCTAAAGAAACTGGATTATAGTAGCCTTGAATCAGAGATGTAGGAGTTGCTTTTTTGCATCCGTGCTTTGTAACCCTAGGAAGAAGACTATGACTCTACCTCAATTCAGCCTCAGGAAAGGCTAGCAGAAAAAAATGGAACAAAAAGAACTAAAACAGAATAGGCCTTTTCTGTTTTCAGAAAAACTTCTGAAGAAGCCTGCTGGGGAGGTTTAGGAGGCCCACTTCGTAAAAGGAGAGGACTCAATCACTGTGAAACCTTTTAGAACTTCAGATCTTTTGGATCTTCGTCATCTCCCCTGATGTAGATGCAGCATTGATGTGTTTTCAGCGGAGGTGGTCACCTTACAGAGGATTTCTCCTCTGTAACCTTCAGAAAACACTTTGTACCAAGGCTGCTTCTTAGAGCTTCATTTGCAGCAGTATTCTGATGTTAATATTTTTAACATACTTTCCACACAGCTTTTGTGATTGAAATCCAGGAAATAGAAGGGGGAGAATATTATAAAACATACACTCGTCAGAGCTGGCTTTATGGATGTTGAAATTTATAAGGGTTATTTTTGGGGCATGGAACTGCCTGGAACAGAATTATGTTCTTGAGTTAGCAATGAAAACAAAAAAAGGAAAAAACAGTTAGAAGTCTTCAACAGTCTGGACCACAGAATCTTCAGTAGAGGCTTCAGCCATTTGGGTTGTATCACTGGCATGTATATTTAAAAACAAACAAACAAACCCTAAACAACAACAACAAAAAACCCAAAACACCCTCTTCTCCCAATCCACACACACAGACCCCCTTCTGCCCTCCCCCAACAAACCAACCAAACAAAATACCCTGTTGCCATAAAAAAAAAAATCTTTGCAGTGGGCGAAATCTGGCTCTTCAGAATATATAAGATTAAAAGTTGTATGCAAACATTTCTGCTGAGAACTGAGAAAGTCATACCTCGCTGTCACCTCTAATGTTGGCAACTGTTCTGAACCAGAAGGCATTCTGTACGATTATTTCCTTCCTGAATGTGGAAACTTGAAACTGTAAAAACATTGGCCGCTAGAAAGAAAATAAATGGGCCAAAGAAGTATAGTCATCTTGCAGTGTTTTTCTAAATTATATAAGGTTGACTTTCATATTTATGTCTCTCCCACTCCCTGTTTATTTTCACCTCCTCAGTGTATCTGTTTTCACAGAATTTTCCATCATAAGTGTTTCTGAATGCCATTCTGAAGTTGGCTGGCTCTCTAGATATTTTACCTAGGTATTACCTTTCTGGTAACCAGAAACATACCAGTCTGCCTGCCTGCCTCAGACTAAGTTCTTGGTTTATTTATGCAATTAGTATGAGAAATAATGTGTTTAAAACTTCTGAGCTTGTGTTTAGATATTAAAGTCTAATTAATTCCATACAACAACTTTGGGAGTACTTGCTTGGAATTTGAGGATCTACAAGATGGGTTGAGCTAAACTTCAGCTGCTTCTGGTACTTCCAGAAAGTTGAGGTGAAACAGTTTATGCAGTGTATTTTCTATGAGTTACGGCTTTGCTAGAAGACAGATGGTCTTTTCAAATGGAAATTGCTGATGTTCCTGCAATATCCTGTTGTGTTCTCTCTTTGAAGATTTCACCTGTACTTACTTTATATGAAGAAATAAACTGCTTATATAAAGGTTACAAACCCTGACTAGGGAATACATTTTTTAAAGTAAACTTCTTTGGTTTTGATCAAGATTACAATGTTTACATATTGTGCTTTCTGACATCTCTGTTGGTATACTTTATAATGGAAAAGTAAATTACGAATTTTCTTCCTTCTTCTAGCCTAATAGTGAATTCCTCCTACCTCCTCCAGTGTTATCCCGTACTACACTATGCCAAACTAAGGCAGATGATAAAAAGGATTTTTGTTACATTAGTGAACTAAGACCTAACATTTGAAAGAACTCTCAAGAACTGCTTTTATCTTAATGAGAATTAATGAAACTGCTTTCATGAAGACCTAAGAAGAAGTATTGGTTATTATGGGCTAATATCTGAAGGACCCACTGAAAAATGACTGGGCTTGGTTATTATGGGCTAATATCTGAAGGACCCACTGAAAAATGACTGGGCTTGTTTGATTTTCCTAAACAAGGATTATTTGGAGGAAAAAAGATAAAGTATAAATTATTTACTTCATAAATGTGTCAAATAAATATGCTACTTAAAACACTTATTTGGAATGTACTGGTCAATGTTGTTTAGCAAGATCATAAAAGAACATTGTTAATCCCTTGTTAATTTGGGATTTTGGCTTCTGTAAGTTACCATTAAAAAAGAGGAGGTGCTTATTAGTGACATAGTAAGTAGGCAAATTAGTAAATTTCTATACTCTTGCCTTTTGGCTAACTTTTCCAGGAAGTCTAAAACCTATTTTTTTCTTAAGGAGTAATATTTAAAAATACATGCATACAATTATTTAATGTGACTGATTGGTTTTTTCCTTTTATCTTGCAGCAACGCACCTCTTGCTTTTTCCTCCAAAGTATGTTATATTAAGTTTCGTGAAGCATCGAGTGTTGGTGTGGCCCAGCATCTAACTAACACGGTTTTTATTGACAGAGCTTTGATAGTTGTGCCCTGCGCAGAAGGTTGGTATTTTAGACATTATTCTGTAATGTTGGTCTTTGTCATGTCTGCTAATTGTCTTAAGCTTTCCATGTAAGGAGATGATGCTCTGTTTTTACTTTATTTTACTGCTTTTTGAAAAAAAGTCTTGAAACAAAATTGAAAATTGAATGAAGACACCCAAGTATATAGATTTAATTGAAATTCAGCATTAAAAAAAAGATAGTTGATTTGAATTAGGATAATAACATTTTCCATAGTTATTACATATTTTGAGGGTAAAGAAGGTAAAATAATTCCCTTCAGTATGGTTTGTGTTGGCAAGCTTATTCTCACACAGAGTTCTCACTGAAGTCAATGGAGCACTGTGAAGATCAGGCAATTTCCTGGCACTGATAACATCGCAGTTTGGATTTTAATGTATCACCTTTGGTGTGCTGGGTTTTTTTGTTGGTTTTTTTTTTTAAGATACTGATTATTTTTCCTTTTTTTTTTTAGACTGAATCCCAGTTTTGTCTTGTAGACGTGATGTATGCAGTTTGGCCATTTTAGATTCATCTAATCTAAAATACTTAGCATTCCTGGTGATAATCACTGTTTGAATGTAAATGTTTACTGGCTAGTTTAATAAAAAACCCACAATTTTCCTTTCTTGTTACTGTGGAAAATATTACTTTGTGTGCCATAAAAAGGCTTTCTTATGTTTACTGGTAGTCCTTTTTGGTTTTAGGTAGCTCTTCAAAAATGCAATGATCTGTACAGAATGCTTCCAGTGTAACGTATTTTTAAAACTCTTAAAATAAAATGCTTGGTGAATACTAAATTTACAAGTGTTCCTTTAACTAGCTTTGAGGCCATACTTTTACAGATGTGTTGAATAGAAGGTAGTTCGTATTGTTAGTATAATATCCCAGATCTGAATACAGTTATATGAAGCATGGCCCTATGGTAGGCATATCACTGGAGTTAGGCAGAGCCCCATTGACTTCATTGGGATCATTGTGGAATTGAGCGTCTGCCCATTTGGTTCTGGACTTTTTGCCTTTTTGGAGTGGAAACGTTCCAGTTGGTGGAGTGAACCTAACTTCACTTTGAACATGGTAGCTGTTTTGCCGTAACGACAATATTTAGAATGATTGAACCATAAACTGCAGCAAGTCCGGAAATACCGCCTATTAACATAACTTTTCTAACTGCAAGAGTCAGGTTTTGGTTCAAAAAATACTGTTGACTTCTTGGAGTTTGTTAAAGTGGTCCCAGAGTACCATTTTTTGGCATGTTTGCCACATCATGATCTGGATAGTATGAGATTACTGCTATGTGAGATAGTGTAATAATGGTCTGGGATGTTCCTAGCAAACTCTTGACAAGTCTCCAAAATTTCATAGACTCTGTAAGTACTTTCACTAAAGGCTATATTGACCTACAATATACCGCCTATTCTTGTAGCGTTCTTAATAGGGGCATATGGCATATACATTTGTCTTTGTGAAGCCTAGATTTTTAGTTGCTTTTATGCCTTGTTTTGGGGGCTTTTTGGTTTTATTTTTTGAACTTGTTCTTAAACCACAAAGAGGATATTGCTGTATCCACTTGAATCTCGGTAGAAGCAAATGGGACCAGAGTCCTTATTGAAAAATTGCCCCTAAATAATTGACTACAAATTATTCAGGATCGTAGTTTTGCGTTTCATTGAAAAGACCTTAACACTGGTTCAGCATTGCCAGAGAGGGAAGATTGCCGACTAATGAATGAACAACACTTCCTGGTGTTTTTCTTGTGATGAGATCACTGCCTGACGTGATATGGCAACAGGCAGGTAAAGCTACATTTTCCTGTGTCTCTTGATGGTAGACAATGAGTGGAAGGAGAATAAAATCAAAGTTCTGACAAATCTTGTTCCAACCCCATTTGTAGCTGACTTATTAGACATTTCTGAGAGAATGTATTACAGAAAAATTGTCACTGTTCAAAATCATTCTGGACCCTGCAGATATTTATGCATAATTAGGTGAACAAGTGATTGGGTTGTGAGGTCAAATTTTTTTAATGTTAGAATGCTGTTTCCCTGTAACTTTCTAACAGAATCACTGATTTTAATTTACAAAGATGTGAATTTATATAGGTTTAACTTTCTCAGGAATTTATTGTGTGGAATAAGTACGGCTTTGGAGACCACAACACAAGATTTTTGATTCACTATGTATCATATGATACATTATTAAAGGAGTCAGTGGAGTGTATCACGGGCTTTAAAAGTAGTACCAGGAGGTAAAATTATATCCTTGGCCAACGGTGCCAGTAATAAAACATTCCACGCGCCGAATCGCACATAGAGGAGAGATAAAATGGAATTCTGAAAACTTGGTTTTAAAAACCAGAATAAAATCTGAAATTTGGAGTGCATTTAAACAGTGGTAAATCAAGAGAGTATGAGTAGTGATTCC